CTAGTTCACTCAAATATTTTTTTGCTCTCTAGAACGACGAACCTTCTACAAAATGGATATTTTATGATTTACAGATCGTCGTATGTAATTTTAGTAATTTAATAATAGATGTATTCTTGGCAAATCATGAATGTGGGACCCGTCCTCGTAAATAAGCTGTCAACGTCAACAGACAATTGTTAGATTTTTTTTTATATAATTAATATGTACAATACGAGTTGTTTCAAATATATGTGAAACTGAGGGAGCCAAACAAATTTTAATATTTTATTTATAAAAAGCCGGTTATGTAGTACATTTTATATAATCGGAGTTATTCAGTATATACGCATTTTTGAGATTATAAAAAGGTTAAATGTACGCTAGAAAAATGCGTGATTATGTGTGTATGGTTGGGATACAAGCGGTAGCGTTAGCAGATGCAAGCCGCACAAGACAGCGACAGATGAAAAGAGCTAAGGGAGACCTATGTCTAGCAGTAGACGCGTACAGGCTGATGGTGAGGATGTGGTTGAAATATTTTCTGCAAACATGCGTAATTATTTTCCCAAGAATAGAGTAACGTTTAAAACAAGTATAGAATATAAATGATAAAAAACGTCGTTTTCATTATAGGTACAAACAAGAGTGTCAATATTTATATTTTTATTGATTATGAAGAGCATTTAAAGATTTCGAACGATCGAGATGACCGATACAATTCTATAACGTAATAAATGGGCCCTGTCCCGATCTATCATAACTATAACCATAACTCAATCATTGGAAAGATATAGGAATAAAGAAACGTTCATATGTTAATCACTGATATGTGGAAAGAGTATATGGAGAGAATATTTGATAAATAAAGAAAATGTTTATAAAATACAGGAAACCTTAAGAGAGAAAAATAATTCAGGGCATTCTATAAAAATAAGTAATTAAGAACTTAATAGAAAAGAGTGTTGAATATAACAAGCCATTAGTCATGATATTTGTTGACTACGAAAAAGCTTTCGACACAAAGTCATCAAAAGATGTTAAAAGCCTTAACAGAGTGCCGTATAGATCATCGCTATATAAACATGATAAAATACATCTATCAAAATGGGACAGCAAGCGTGAAACTGGCAGATAAAAAGACCAACGTATTTAAAATAAAACGGGGAGTGCGACAGGGAGACACAATTTCGCCAAAATTGTTTACAACATTATTAAAGCATATGTTTAAGAACGCAAATCTGAGTGAAAAAGGAATTAATGTCAATGGAGAAATGCTTAGTCATTTGAGGTTTGCTGACGATATTGTCCTTGTTGATGACAGAATCGATGATGCAGTATCGCAACTGGAGAAACTATACCTAGCCTCCCTACAAGTTGGATTAAAAATCAACCACACAAAAACACAAATCATGACAAATCTTGTGTTAAGCGAAAAGATTTCAGTAAATGGCAATGGCAAATTGGGTGGCATTCGGCAAGCTGAGCTATGTTCTTAAATCAGAACTGGCTATGTTTCTTAAAAGAAAAGTCTTTAATCAGTGCGTGTTGCCAGTACTTACATATGGTGCAGAGACATTAACACTAACCAAGAAAGTAAGAAATAAAATTTGTGTTACCTAAAGAGTCATGGAAAGATCGATGTTAGGCATTTCTCGTAGGGATCGGATCACGAACAAGGAAATAAGACGGAGAACACGAGTGACAGATGCCATAGAAAGAATTATTAAGTGGAACTGGGCGGGGCACATAGCTAGAATGTCAGATAACAGATGGACACAGCGAATAATACAGTGGAGACCGAGACAAGAAGCACATCGAAGTAGAGGTCGTCCACCAACAAGATGGTCTGATGACATAAAACGGATCGACAAAAATTGGATGCAAACAGCACAAAACAGAAATACATGGAAAAGACTGAGGGAGACCTATGTCCAGCAGTGGATAGATCCGGGTTAAATGATGATTCTATAAGAATGTTAACATCGACAGAATATAATTCAAGGCAACCACAAGCCAATGCAGCAGTCAGAATAGTGCCCTATTAACAACAAGGATAGATGTATTGAATATAATATGGGTGGAATATTTTAACCGGGTACTTAATATAGAGGAAGAAGAAGGAAACATGAAAGAGAAAGATATGGGGCAAGAGGAACAGAAACCAATAATGATTCTTGAAATTAACGACACAATTAAAAAAATAACTAGAAACAAATCACCCGAAATAGCCAGCAGATCATAAAAGAAATATGGAACCAGAAATCCCTCCTCAGTCATTGGAATATTGAAATACTCTGCACCATACACAAAAAAAGGAGATATCTTTAAATGCTCCAACCACAGAGGAACTATGCTTCTAAATGCAGCGTATAAAATATTTTCCACAGTACTATGTTACTCATCACATATTTATAGACTACAAAGCAGCCCACAAATCTGTAAGTAGAATGTTTAAAGTAATGAAAGAGTTGTGGAATACCAAATCAGTTGGTAAATTGAACAAAACTAACTCTTGAAAAAGTTGAATGTAGAGTACGAATCCAGGGGAAACAGTCTAAACCTTTTAAAACAAATAACGGGCTGCGCCAGGAAGACTCTCTCTCTTGTATACTGTTCAATCAATTACTGGAAAAGTAATGTGAATGTCATAAATCACAATGAGACCTGGAATCTAACAAAAAGTAATGAAAACATGTCAGGATATTTCGAAAGAAAAGTACTAAGGCGAATCTATGTAGCGGTGAATGACAATGGAGTATGGAGAAGACCAGATATCGTAAAATATATTACGATAGGACGTCTGAGGTGGGTAGGACATGCAATGCGGATGTACAAGCTAGAAAAACGCTCCTTGATAGACCCATTGGTCAAAGAACAAGGAGAAGAACCAGAAAAGGTTCCTTAATAACATCGATGAAGACATGAAAAGTATAGAACTACGTGCTTGGTGAATGAAGTCGATGGATAGGGACGACTGGAGAGAAATTCTTGAAGAGGCTAGGACCCACGCAGGGTTGTCCTAGCGATGATGTAAAAAATGTGAGAAATTATGTGTGACTAAACAACTAGTATTGGACCAGGTGTAGGGAAGAATGAAACTTATTTAATAAGAAATACTGAAAAGGAATTAGCGCTATGACTAGTAATAGTAATCTTCAAAGAATATCTTAAGTCTTAATAATTAACACTAAAATAAAATATATATCAAAACAAGTACCAAGAGGAAATCCTCTAGTGAAATTTAGTAACATGACTATAAAAAAAAATTAAAAAAAATCCAGATGAGAATAAAACTTAGATCAAATTTAAAAAATTTAACGAGAAGATGTGACAAAGACCAACTAACTGTTGTAATATACAATATTTCAATTGCACGTGTAGAAAAAACACCGAACAAAAACTAGGAATAAAGGAGAAACGGATAATGCTTTAATTCGAAAACGTCAACAAATAAAAATAAATGTTCGACAAAGGCAACTCTATTTGAAGTTTTTAGTAATTTACTAAATTACTTAAAAAAAAATACAAATAGGTAAGCACTAGAACACGATGAATTGACAAACAAAAAGTAATAAGTAAAATTTTAATTAAAAATCTAAATGACTTCACAAAGGAATTAGATATAAAATAATAAATATAACTACTTTGACTTAACCCGTTACAAAAACCTCCAAATGATCAGATTATAAAATGTTTGAAAGCTCGACATCGGTAAACTAAATAAAATAAGAGAACAAATAAATGAAAAATAAATTGTCTAGTACGTATTCGAAACCAAAACCTAGCTTAAAGTTTTGAAGAAGGTGGAGTAATTATTTATTACAAAAAGGGCAAGATGTCTTAACCAAAACACATCAACAATCCGTCTCTTAGGTCTTTGTATGGTGGTCGTCGTGATGTGTATGGTCCATTTCCATAGATTTCTTGGTAATTTCTTTTAATCTGTAAAGTTTTTTACAGATTCCGGTAATTTTTCAATCCATACTGTTAGTAATCTGCCTTGTGCTCTGCGGCCTTTTAACTTGCTTTGAATGATAGTTCCCTCATATTGTCTGTGTCGGATCTCATGATACGTCTAAAATATATTCTAACTGCTATAGTTGGACTTTGGATTTTTAGCTCTCTTAAACTCGAATTAGTTGTTCGGTAGCCAGTACAGGGAAATCGTATCGCGCTTATCCAGAAGAATGCCTTTTTTTATGAATTATCCAGTAGATCGTATCCAGTCAGTGAGCCATTAACTGAAATTCTATTCGTGATTTTGCAGAGGAAGTGAAGCGATATTATTCCGATTTCTTCTGTAAAGTGAACAGTTCTGCTGTTATCATATCTAACATGGTGCCTTTTTGACTTTGAGTCTAATGAGTTTATCGCGTCATCCTTCACTTTCGACTATATCACGTTTATCTTCTATTTCATTATAGTTCTGTTGAGTATGTACCGGGTGTTGGCCGTCTCTATATAATAGATCCTGGCAGTATTATCTCCAAATCTCTACCATACCTTCTCTGAATTATCAGAGCTGCCATGTGGTTTTCAACACCCCAAATAAAGAGTCTTGTTAAATACAATATTTTTCTAAACAGATCTTTCAGACTAGACTTTGCAGAAACTAGACCAGCAACATCAAAAGGATACTAGAAACAACAGAAAAGAAGATATTTTGTAGATTCATAAAGTATAAGATCCACATGCAAAGTCGAAGAAAATAAAAAGAAAAGAGTGGACTGAACAAATTAACACAATTAGTAATAATCGCCCAAGATAAATCACCATAATGTCATCGTAGTGTGAGCCGCCTTCCAAAGAGGTGGAATGATGACCTAAGCACGGATGGAACAGATAGTTGAAGATAAAACACACAATTTGCCTAAAATCTTAAATAAAGAAGTAAAATCATCAGCAATGTTGTATACTATTTATAATATTTAATGAGAAGAAATTAATTCTATTCTCATTAAATCACTAATTCACTATAATTAATGTACCTATCTATCTATTAATACAAACATACTTACATCGCTTGCCAAACGTTCATATTCTTCCATGAGACGTTCATTTTCTTGGTTGACTTTGAGTACTTTGCAGATTCTGTTCGCGGCGGTTTCGGCCTTAAAATTAAAAAAATAATCAATACATTTTTCCTTCAACATATAAAAACCAGTACAAAAATCATCACTTTTCAAACCTTTTGGTAATTTAATTAGATTGAGTATGAGTTATGAACTATCGTGTTTCATCTTAGTCGGTGTGATATGTATGTGAAGATTGTAGGATCGTGTGTCTTATTTTTAAAGGGGGCTATTTTTTACGAATTTCAGAAGTATACGGTGCCAATTTTTTTTCTCGCTTTTTAGTTTGTAGATTTAGTAATTGAACAGTTCGAATGTAATTATAATTTCGAATTGTTTCTAATTCCCTGTGTCCGATTCTTCTCGATCGACGATGATAAAATAAAATCCTGAAGTCCTGGAGTAAAATATAGTTTTATTGACAGCTACTGAATTATTACACTATAGTTGAGGTAAAAAATTATAATACACTGCGTCCCAAACTAGTCCCGAAGCTATGTTTTTATTCTCACTAAAATGGTACGATTCATCACATAAGCGTATTGCCCTCTGCATAGAACAGAAACCTTTAGCTTTTGAAAGCTGGTAAATATAATATAAACTGAGGTAATGATTACTAGAATTTCCTCAATACCTATTAGGCAATCTATAGTTTGCAGGAAGTTGAACAAACTGTAATTAAGCTACTAATCGATATGTTTCACAATTATATACGGTGAAACTATAAAAATTTAGGAAATTAGGATTAATGTGAGATTACAAATTAATGGACTAATTTGTGATTGAACACAACTGTGTTTTGTTTTTATTTAAATGTAGATATCTATTCTTCATTGTATTCGCAGTTCTTTAAACGCTAAATTTTGAAGCCGACATGTGCATAGAATCGTCATCGTCATTGGCTCTACAACCATAGGAACTCTTGGCCTGTTCTAATTTCTAGATTAGCTCCAATTCCTTCTTATACTTCGCCTTGATTTTTTAATTTAGTACTTACTCGTAAGTCGTCTGCCACCTGATCATTAAATCATGCTCTGGGCCTGCCTCTTCTCACTCCATACGGTCTTTGGTTATATCTTGTGCAGTTTTTCTAAGTGGTCTAGCCATCACGTTCTGTTTATTTTGATAGACCTACCAATACTAGGTTCACTATAAAGGTGGTTCAGATGAAAATTAAAGCGCCTACGCCATAATCCGTTTTTCTGCATAAATATTTCTAAGGATTTTACGTTCAAAACAGCCTAAACGTTCTTCATTGTTTTTTGTCATCATCCACGTTTCTAACGCGTAAGTGACAACTGGACCGATACGAGTTCCGTCTATCAATAATTTTCATCAATTACCATAGTATGCTCTATTTTCTATATATACACGTCTGTTACTTTCTACGGTTACTGTATTAGTTTGGTTGATTTGTGATCCTAGATATATGAAATCTCTTACTCCTTCGAAGTATATGTTCCAGTTTTACTAGATTAACGTGTAGCCCAATTCTTTTTGCTGCTGCTTCCAATGCCGTGTCTGACTAGACCAGATCCGCCTTTCTTCTTACTATGATATCGATGTCATCCGCATACGCTAGTATTTGTATGCTCCACATTAATAATTATATATATATATATATATATATATATATATATATATATATATATATATATATATATATATATATATGTATATATGCCGGTTTAGAAAGTCCTTCTCCGTTGTCCGATACCTAACTTCCATCCTCTTCTATCGTGGCAATCTTCCGTTGATAGATTCCGTTCGCTCATTGAGTTTTTTATGTTTTGCTGCCACTCTAGTTTGGGTCTTCCTCGCTTTCTATTTCCTATTGGGGTCCAGTTCAGTATTTTTTTGGGTCATCTAGTATTTTGCATTCGCTCTACGTGTCCGTACCAGGCAAGTTGTTTCTTTTCGATATCCTTAATTATCGTACCTTCCATTCCCATTCGTTGTTTTATATGGTCATTCCTCATTCTTTCTCTTCGTGAGACTCGCATAGATCTTCTTATCGCGTCCATTTCGACTGCCTCTACCTTCTTTTTTTGTCTGTCTGGAATTGTCCATGCTTCCGCTTTTACAATAGGCTGCTCTTAACCATTGTCTCGTATATATCAAATTTTCTCCTTTTTGTTATCTCCTTGCTCCACAAGATGCCATTCGGACATCCTATTATCTTTTTAGCTGTAACTATTCGTTTTTCTATCTCTTTCACATCTGTTCCGGTATTGTCGAATGTAATACCTAAATGTTCATATTCTTGACATTGCTGAATTTCTTGACCGTTGTCCAACTCCAAACTTTCGCTCTGAGAGCCTACACATAGATATTTCGTTTTATTTACGTTAACTGTCAAGCCCCATTCCTCATACTCTTCTATCAGTTTTCTAATCATTCGTCTTTGTCATTGGCCACTATGACCTGATCATCTGCAAACTGAAGAGTAAACAGGTATCTGTCATCTATCTCTATACCCATTCCGTGTATTTTCCTTTTCCAGTTCTCAAGTGCCGCTGCTACATATATTTTGAATAGTGTAGGAGAGATAGGACATCCCTGACGTAGTCCCTTATTCACTATGAAGACATCTGTGAATTTTTTACCTATCTTAATTCTTGATTGTGAATTTTCATACAGTTCTTTAAGTTCAGCTATATAGTTGTGATTGATGTTCGTTTGTTCTAATACCTTCCACAGTCTCGATACTGGGACTGTATCATATGCTTTTTTAGGTCCACAAATCCACACAAGTCCACATGTCTAGCAGATCTCTTCTCTATGACTTGTTTTAGACAAAATACGTTGTCGGTACACGATCTATCTGCTCTAAAGCCGCTTTGATCTTCTTCTTCTTTCTCTTTATAGTCTTCTTCAATTAGATCTCGCAGTATTCTACTGTATAGTCTGCTTAGTGTACTGTATACTGGATGATATATAAGCTGTTTTCCAGTCTTCTGGAACAGGATGTCCATTTAGGCATTTATTGATAATTATTGGTAGATTTCTAAAGAGTTTTTCCGTTCCCCATCTTAACATTTCGGAGAAAATCCCTTCTGGTCCGCTAGCTTTCCATAACTTAAGGTTCAAAACTGTCTTTTTTACTGTTTCTTCGGATACCTCTACTTCTTCTCCATTTACTACAAAATGTTTTGGAGATTCTATCATGTATTTCTGTCTAGTTTCTTGTAGTAGACCTTTGTAATGTTGTATTCACTGCTCCGGTTTGATTATCTGGATATCTGCTCTGTCCTTTGCTGGGTTTTTGACATTTTTTGACAGTTTTTTGACATTAATAATTTTTCTTGTTGTTATTCCCGATTCTCTAATAGCTCTCTCTAGGGCAATGTTGAATAGGAGGCACGATAGGCTATCTTCCTGTCAAAGTTCCATCTGTGTCTCTAAAATTCTTGATACTCCGTTCTGAACTCTAACCTTACATTCGACTGTTATAGGAGTTACTTTCACGAATTTCACTTGGGATATTGAATTCTACCATGGATGTGTATAGTGCGTTTCTATCTACACTCTCATAGGCCCATCTGCAAATAATTAGTGAATATCAATTCCATACTCATCTGTTTTTTTTTCAAAGCTTGTTTTAGAAGGAATATTTGATGGATAGCTGATTTTATTTGCGAAGCCCACACTGGTATTTGATTGTTACGTTTTCAGAATATCCCGATAGTCGATCGTCCACAATGTAGGCCGATATTTTGTAGGTCACGTTTGATCTCCTTTCTTGGAAATAGGTATTATACCTACGTTCCAGCCTTCTGGTTGTGTTACCTGCATCCAAATCAGTTCTAATAACCTACTTATACAACAGGTCCGATTTTTTGCGCCATGTTTTAAAAGCTCAGAAGGAATGCCATCTGCTCCCGGAGTTTTGTTTTCTTTCAATTTTTGTACTGCTTTGATGACTTTCTCTGTTGTGATGTTATCTTTCTCTCTTTCGTCTTCTATGCCTTCGAGCTAAATTTCTGCTTCTTACAACCTCATCTCTCTCATATTTAGTCTCTCCTCAAAATTGTGTGCCCATCTTTCTAGTATCTGGTCCTTATCACCAATGATGTCCCCTTTTGTATTTCTAACTATTGATGCGAAATTTCAACTTGACTATTCTCACTTTTTCTGGAAGTGTTTTTTTTTTCGACTTTTATATTATATCCAGAAGAGCTTACTAGCAGAACTGAAGTATTGTCATTATATTTTTTTATTTAACTCCATTTTATTTACAATGTGTTATCAATCATAACAATAAATAAATTTAGTGTCAATTATTTAGTGATGTCATGCAGGAAATCTCAACGTTGAGAGATATTTTCTAAGGGCATTTCAAACGGCTCACTTAATCGTTTATATTGAACAGATCACGCACTAGAACAGTAGAGTCGGCACTAGTTTTTTTTTATATTTTTCACTGTACTTGTTGACTTTAGCTCTTACAGATTGAATTTGAAGACCTTTTTTTATTATATTGTTTAGAACACACCATGGAGCATTGGTTAGGATTCGGAGAGCTTTATTCTGGAATCTTTGTGTGATTTCTAGATTTGAGTTGCTAGCGGTGGCACAAAACTGGATGCCATAAGTCTATATTGGCTTTATTGGGATCTTATATATAAGGTCCTTGTTTGTTATGATTTAATTGCGATTAAATCCTGCCAGTATAGTTAATCTTCTGTCATTTTTTTAGTAACCGTTTGACCATTTCATAACACTGCTGTACATCTACCTTTTCTTAGTGTGAATGTGATTTGAATTGATTTTGTGTGTGAAGGTTTTATTAACACGATCGTATCCATTTTAATAACCACGCTTGGTTTTTATTCAGACTAACTTGTAAATTTCTTGAGGCGATCACTGGATCATGATGGGAGGCAAGAATTGCAGTGTTATTAGCGAAAGTCGCTGTGATTGCAGTTTTTGAGGTTGATAGGTTTACAGTAACAGCTGGTAGAGCATTGCAAAACTATGTTTATCTAGTCTTATTTATTACAAACATAGTATAATAACATTTGTCGATACACAATATTCCTTATTGGCATAAAAATGTACTCATCTAAAAAATAATCTTTTATATCTATGAGTAGTAGACTATAATATCTGGGGGTGTGATTGATTGATCTAGTCAATAACTACGCGTAAATATAAAATTTTCGGCAGATTAAAGTTGCATTAAATAAAAATATCATTTAGTTTACTGTCCTAAGCTTGTTCTTTATGTCGAAACACTTAAATATAATTTCAAATTTTAAGGGAATGGCTACTAACAATACTTTTATTTTTCTTTCGTTTTTAAAATTAGGTATTTAGCTTTGGTACCACCTCTTTTTTTTAAGAAAATCCAAATCTTTAAGAGGGTTGTCAAACCTGCAATTCAGCAAAGAAACGTATACTATATGGAGATTCACTTTTAAACAAACACACATTTTCAACCGTACAGCTGTTCTCAACGTGTATTCTCAATAATAATTTTATGGTCATTTTTAAACTATATATGCATGTTGGCAGAACATTGTTTTGTGTACACAATTTTATTTCTAAGTTTTCTCTCCATGAAGTAGTAGTAGTAGTATACAGTGGTACAGTTTTAACTTTCTTGGCAGAAAACTACAAATTGGTTTTTATTTTTAGGTAATACGTCAGTTTTTTGACAGATTGACATATTCTTTAATTGATCTACCTTTGTTCACCTTTCTCAATTTGAACTAATTATAATTTTTTTTTAAAATATCTATTTTCAAATCTTCTTTTGTCATTGTTTCTATCCTTCTTCTAAATCCCCTGTCTTTTTCAACTTTCGGGGTCTGTATTCTATGTTCCCTAAATGCCTTGCGTATACTATGTAGATTCAGCGTCCCTGTCTTTACAAAAAAACAGTCCTTATTATCCCCAAACCACTGCAGAGCTTCTAACGAGCACCGAATCACCGAACAAGGAATTTTTTTTTTTTTATAGACACGGGACACGAGAATAGAAAAATCCCGTGCCAGACGCCGCGCCGTTTGAATTGGCCAGAGCCGAAATTAAATAAATACAATTTAAATAGTTGTTGGAGAGTTTGAAAAGTGATGATTTCATCTTTTATCAGCATATATATTGTTAATTATATTAATATCAGAAAATCACCTTCTGTGCACCTGAGAAGCGATGGTAATAAGAAGACACGTACGTCATTACGGCCCTTTCATCCGGCATAGCTGTGTTCTGTAAGTCTGCATGCAAACAATATCGGGTAAAGGTATAGCCACAACAAAAAAGCTAACAATTTAAGTGATACAGTAGAACAGTTTAGATAAAAGAATGAGGTTTTGCAACAAATTAAAAGTTATTTAGAGTTACTATTAGACTGAACTTTAGCATCTATCATAAAACTTTAATAGATCCATTTTGAAATACCAGTTATACTTTTCTATCAATTTTATAATTGAATAAACAACGGTCGTACAAGAAATTCGTTATTTGATGCCTCAGCTTAGAGATACGAAGCTGAAACGTTAAATAAGGAATTTTTTTTAAGTGCCGTTTAAGATCCTATCGAAGGGTGGAAAAATTTTGTTTTTAGCAGCTTGGAAAATTCTATTATTTTTGAACCCTGAAATTCTCATTCCAACCACCACGCCGCCGATTATATTTACCATGTAAGTTTTATTTAAAAATCCTTTATAAAAGGTATATACACTTTAGTGGTAATACTTGTTCCAGGTAAATGCACTGATGATATACTACTAAGTCCGGAAACGTTTTCATGTAACCCGAAAGAGTATTTTCAATTATATATTTTTTACAACGGATTTTTATATAAAACTTTTCGTGATTTATGGTATATAAGTAGTCAATTTTATTTTCATTGTGGATATTTTCATGTATTATTAATCTATTCATCTTATAGCTTTGTCCTTTTATATTTTATTTTTTTATGGTGAATGTTATTTACCATTCGTTATTCATCTCTTTAAAACCATCCTTTTTGTTTTGTTCTGCTACCTTCTGATACCTTGTTCTGCCTCCGTATTATCTAAGGATTATTCTGTAACACCGCATTTCAAACGACTGCAACTTGTTTACATGATTTTGATTATGAGTCCAAGATTATTATTTTCTCTCACTAGCTTCAATTTAAGGTCTTTGTTATATAGAATTGTGTTCAATTTTATTAACGCAGTTCTTGCTATTTCTATTCTCGCCCGTATTTCTGCCGTTTGATCATGATTTTAAGTCCATTAGATTCATATAGTCCATCCAGATATTTATATTTTTAAACCCTTTCTAGTACACTTCTTAAAGTAATCTCTCTCTATCTTCAGTCCTGACTCCCCGGAGAAAGGGCAGTAGTTATCCAAAGATCTCCGTCTCTCGTCATTTCTTTTAACTTATGCATAGGTATTTCGCATATGCGTATAATTTGTAGATCCGTCTTGTTGAGGATCTTCCTTGTAATCTTTGACCTTCTACATTTTCTTGGATAAGCCTTTTCATGTTTTCTGTGTCTGCTTTCATAACATGTCCTAAGTATTTTAATTATTGAAGATGTACTTTGATAGAGAACCGTTTGCTGACCTTTAGTTCATTTAAAATTGAATTATTTGCCGGGTGGTCGGTCCACGAAATTCGCAACATTCTTCTTTAACATAAAATTTCAGTGGCGTCTATCTTTTTTCTTTCCGCTTGTCGTAGGGTTTAAGATTCACATCAGTATGCCAGTGTTCGGAACATTAAGCAGTTCAGTCTAGAGTTCGTGAAATTTAATAGTCCTCCCATATTTTCACCATCTTTCCTACGGCAACTCTTGCTTGATCACATTCTTGGATAATAAATCTTTCCATTATTTCTGTGTCTGCTATCATAACAAGTCAAAAGTATGTTAATTGTTGGAGATGGGACTTTGCTGGATAGCCGTTTGCTGACTTTTAACTCATTTAAAATTGAAATATTTGTCCTGTAGTCGGTCCACGGAATTCGTAACATTCTTCTACAACAGAACATTTCAGTGGTGTCTATCTTTCTTCTTTCCGCTTTTCGTAGGGTCCAATATTCACATCCGTATGTCAGTATTAGAAATATATTTGAACAACCTCATTTTTAGAGTTCGTGAAATTTGAGAGTCCTTCCATATTTTGGCCCTCTTTCCTACGGCGACTTTTGCTAAATCACAGCTATGTTTGATTTTTTCCTGTAGGGACTTTGTGTTTGTGATCAATGATCCAAAATATAAGTATGAGCTCAAAAAGTCAAACTGGTCAATCATGCTTATGTGTGGATGATCGTTATGTAGTCTATCAATGAACTCTTGACTATTTGCAAGAAGTGATGAGTCATCTGCAAAACGTAGGTTGTTTATTTTTCGGCCATTTATTGAGATGTCCTTTTCCAATTATTCAAACGCTTTTCTCATAACATGCTCTCCATATATACCTATATTAAATAATTGTGGAGACAGTATACATCCTTGTCTGATACCTTGTTCTGGATGAAATTCGTTTGGGAGTGTTCGTACAGTTAAGTTATATTTGACTGTAAATTAGTTTTTTTTTGTTATTACCATATAATTAGCCTTTTGGTATATTAACAATTAATCCAGTATATAAAATTTAGTCCTCCTGTTTGGTTATAATTCAAGTTATTCATTAATCTTGACGTAATCACTGAGTCGTTGACAAAATGTATGTTGTGATAGTATTACTGATTACTATTATACCATAAGGTTCACCTGGTAGTGATTCTTGAAAAACCAATCCATTATATACACTGAAAAGCAAAGGAGCCAAGCAGATTCCCTTTGTTTCTTTCTGGACCAGGTCTAGTAAAAGTGTGGTATCCCTTAAGACAAGCCAGTGTTTTTATTTGTAGACTATTTTTTTTGATATTGGACTTTTATCCTAATTATATAATTGATAGAAAAACTAAAATGACATCAGAAAGTACTTTAAGAGCATTATTTATGATGTTTGTTTGTATTTCTAAACTACTATAGATAAAATTTTCAATCTCTTGATCACTTAAATCATTAGCTAAATATCAAATTCAAATGTAAACATAAAAATCATCACAAAAAAAAACAAAAATCAATGTGCTCACACAGTATTATATTGTGAGTACAACAAAAATGTTAAACAGCAATTGCAACACAAATGTCGGATGGAGAATAAGCAATACGTACAATGTGGATGCAGCAGAATTCGAAAAAAAAAAAAAAATATTTAAAAAAGGTTTAATTATTCGATAAGCTTTGAAAAACAAAACTATTTTTTTATACAGAGGACCTACTACACCAGTAATTAATAATATTTTATATATATATATATATATATATATATATATATATATATATATATATATATATACCGGGTGGTGAATCGTCAAACGAGCCATAGGAAACTCAATGGGAAATTCTAAACTGCTCTCTAATTATTCCTGATTCCCTAATTATTTTACATCAAAAGTTATAAGAAACTTTTTGTAGAGCACTGAATGAAATCTGTATTGAAAGCAAATGTTAAAATTGTTCTACGAATTAAACACATTCCAAAATTTTGCAAAAAATCAGGCCCAATAACACCACAGTTTAAAATAATGTGAATATATTCATTCATCAGTTGGCGCTACAGCCCTTCGTGAGCCTTGGCCTGCTTCAAAACATTCCTCCATCCTTCCTGTACATCGTCCAGATATCTGAGTTTAGGTCGCTCCCTTCTTCTTCTTCCGACCAGCCTGTTTAGCATAGTTATTTTAGTGGGATCACTCTCATCCATCCGCATAACGTGGCCCACCCACCTTAGGCGGTTTATTTTGATGGTCTTCATAATATCTGCATCACCAAAAAGTCTATAGAGTTCAAAGTTATATCGCCTTCTCCACAGACCCTGTTCGTTTACTCCGCCATATATGGTCCTCAATACTTTTCTTTCAAAGACTCTTAGTAACTCTTCATCTCGGGTCGTCATTGCCCATGTTTCCGATCCGTATGTGAGCACTGGGCGTATTATTGTTTTATGCACTTTGTTGCTATTGACATACTTCTCGCTCTTAGTTGAGGGCCCAGGCCAAAATACCAGCGGTTAGCCACGCATATTCTTTTTTTTTTATCTCTTTGGATGTGTTATTTTTGTAGTCTACCAGTGATCCTAAGTAGCAGAATTCTTCTACCTTTTCTATCGTTTCGTGTTGCACCTCTAAGTTATTTTGTTGAATTCTTGATATGGCCGGCATATATTTAGTGTTCTGGATGTTAATCAGAAGTCCAATGTTTTCTGCGGCATTTGTGATACGTGTGAAAGGCTCCACTGCTTCCTTTTGGGTTCTTCCAATTATGACGATATCATCAGCGTATGCCATTATTTGTATACTACGGGTATATATCGTACCTTTTAAGTTTATTCCCGAATCTCTCATAACTTTTTCTAATGCTAGGTTGAACAGCGTGCACGAAAGCGCATCTCCCTGGCGCAGTCCTCTGTTGGTTTTAAATGGTTTTGAAACATCCCCTTGTACGCGCAATTTACATTCGACTTTCATCATTGTCATTTTAATAAATTCTACCAAACCTTTTGGTATTCCTAATTCGATCATCGCCGAATATAATTGGGACCTGTCAATAGTACCGTACGGTGCCTTATATTAGTATATATTTGTATATATTTTATATAAACTTCATCTAATTTACTTACCGTTGCACGTCATCCGCGTCATAGCTCGTGAGGTCACATGATACCAACTCGAAATATTTAGGCGGTATATGTGTTCTTTTTTAGAATTACTTTGCCGAGTACACTGGCATTACAGCCACTAGACATATTTTATTATATACGCGTAGAAATAATATTTAAAGATTTCTATTAATGTTAACTTAAAGAAATACACAATAATATGTTTCATTTAATTTGTATAAATGCATTATAAAGCGTTTTTATGAAGAACATTTGTTCGGAATACACTGTAACTGTAATCGAACGAAGGTGATATTTTGCATAAATTGGCAACACTTATTTGACAGTTGCGGTGTTGACACTTTTTGTACTTTATTATTTTAAATTTTAAAGTGAACACCTCTTGTTTTATATTTTTACCTATTCAATAAAATCTGTTCGTTTTAGAACAAAATTAGTGTGCATTATTAATTACTATAATTATTAGTGTGTGTGTGATATTAATTTGTTTTGTTGTATTTGTTTGTATCAATGCACTTTTGCAATAATTTTGTGGATTCAGGATTTTT